AGCGAACGGACCTCCTGCATAAGGAGTTGCTCATGAGAGGGATCCCTGAAGAAGGACAGGGAAGGGGGGTGAGAGGGAGGGAAGGAGGAGAACTGGAGGGAGTATCCCACCTGTACCATGCGTAGGACCCAGCGGTCCAAAGTTATACGGGACCACACATGGTAGAAGTGGGATAGCCGGTTTAAAAACCCGGAGGATGGATCCTGGAACTGGGTTGGTAGGCTGTCCTCATGCATGCCTTCAAAACCTTTGTTTGTTCCCTGGCTGGGGCTTATTCTGGCCTTGGTTAGGCGTGTTATTGGACGGCCTACGCCTGTTATTTCTGCCTCGCCTGTGATACGGGTCTTGTCTGGGGCGAGGTTGGTACTGCCTCTGCTGCGGAGGCTGCAGCCTGAAGGGCTTCTTCTGGTGTATGCATGGTGTATGCATCCCCAGTGATTTCATCATGGCTCTGGAATCCTTAAAGCTGTGCAGCCTGGAGTCGGTTTGCTTGGAAGAGGCCCGAGTCTTCGAAGGGGACGTCTTGCAGGGTGTTTTGGACCTCGGGAGGGAGGCTGGATGCCTGCAGCCACGTTGAACGCCTCATAACCACTCCTGAGGCTATGGTTCTGGCTGCAGAGTTGGCTGAATCAAGGGAGGCTTGCAGCGATGTTTTGGCTACCGCTTTCCCTTCCTCGATTAGCACGGTGAACTCTGGGTTCGAGTCCTGCGGCAGGCGATCCTTAAACTTGGACATAGCGTTCCAAGAGTTGAAATTGTGTCTGTTAAGGTCGCCTGTTGGTTGGCTATGCAAAGTTGGAGGCCTTCCAACGAGTAGACCTTCCTACCAAAGAGGTCTAAGCATTTGGCCTCTTTGGCTTTTGCAGCCGAGGCTTATTGACCCTGGCCTTCCTTCTCGTTTACAGCTGAAACGACCAGAGAGCAGGGAGTAAGATGGGAGAACAAGAACTCATAGCCCTTGGATGGAGTGAAATATTTTCTTTCCACCACCCGGGCTGTCGGTGTGATCAAGGCCGGGGTTTGCCAGATAGTCTTGTAGTTGCTCTGGATGGTCTTAATCAGAGGTAGTGCGACTCTGGAGGGACCTTCTGGAGCCAGGATGTCAACCATGAGATCCTCCGTCTCTACAGTCTCTTCCGCCTGAAGGCCCATCTTGAGGGTAGTTCATCCAAGAAACTCTTGGTGGGCCCTATGGTCGAACGGTGGTGATCCTGAAACCGATGTACCTGCCACTGCTTCATCTGGGGAAGAGGAGGACGTGAGCTGCGGCTGATTGCCATCGTTCTGGCCTTCCTGTAATTCCCCATAGCCCTAGGTGGTGTTGGGGCCTGACAAGGTTACCCCCTCCTGAGACGTAATCTGCTTCGGCAATGGTGTGGGCAATGGACCTGTTGCTGTAGGCTGCTTCTGGGGAGCCGAGGGCAGTCTAGAGAGCATGGCCTCTCTTGTCCTCGAGGTGTGCCTATATGGTGACCTTGAGTGGCATCTCATTGAGTGACCGGATCTAGAAGCTCTAGAAAGGGTGCCCTGTTGTTGGTGGTAGGCCCATGGGGTCCAGAAGGGTCACTGTTCCGGAGCGGCCACTGCGGCTGCTACGCCGTGTGGGACTCTTTGCTTGTCATGGTCCGGTGCCTTCTGTAGCTAAAGCGACCGGAATTGGCTTCGGAGCCGGGGGAAGCTGAAGGACAGGACCAACGTGGTGCTGATCCTTGGGCAGCCAGGGAGTGCTGCAAGGTGCGGGTCGGGGACCAATGCTGAGATGATCGGGACCGCGAACAGTACCGGGTGTCCTGAGACCTGGACCGGTCTCGCACATTCGGTGCCGGGGAAGTGGTCGGCACTGAGCCCCGGTGGCGAGCGACCGATGGCGTCGTGGAACGGTGCTGAGTCCTCGATGAGGGTGCCATGGGCACGTCTGCCTCTGGTGCCATAACCTCATGTTGGGCCGTGGCTGCCAGGGAGTGGTGCTGCGCCGAGCTCAAATGGGAGCAGTGCCGTGAATGGTGCTGGATCAGTGAACTTGAGCAGCGCACCATTGCCGGTTTTCCTCTGGATGGCACCCACCTGGGCGGTGCCGGAGGCTTCTCCCTGCAAGGGAGGGGATTTGGTGCCGACAGTTCGATGAGGTCTTTCGCTGCCTCAAATGTGTCAGGCATGGAGGAGGGTTCCAAGACCTCCTCAAGACACTCATCAGCGCTGGAGTCGCTGGGCACTGGACCCCCACGGAGTCAACAGTGCTGGCTCTTGGAGGACTTGCGTCCTGTCTCTGAGTGCTAAGAGGCTCTCTGGGTGTTTTGGTTGCTCTTTGAGGGGAGCGTCCTCTTTCCCCCTTGTTATGGCGCTTGGCCGGTGCCGGAGAGGTCGAGCAGTGCCAGGGCTGGTCGGCCTGTCTCGGTGCCCGTGATTTACAGTGCCTGGGCAGTGCCGAGTCGTACACCGATCACCGAGGAGCTCAGGCCCGGTACCAGGTGGTCTGGGGCAGCTGGTTGCAACTCGGCCTCCATGAGCAGCTGCTTAAGACGAAAGTCTCTTTCTTTCTTCGTGCCTTGAAAGCCTTGCAGCTTTTGCAGCGCTCAGCTTGATGCGCTTCCCCCAGACAACGAAGGCAGGAGTCGTGAGGGTCACTAGTGGGCAAAGGCTTGCGGCAAGTGGCGCAAGCTTTAAACCCCTGGGCTTGCGGTATTCCCCGCAGCCCAAGGCTGGTGCTGGAACTAACTCCCAGACACGCATAACTAAAAACTGTATCTAAGAACAACTCTAACTAGAAAGACTAAATTGCTAAGGGATCACTTGCAAGCAAGAGAGCACATTCCAACACCATCACGGACGGTAAGAAGGAACTGAAGGGGGGTTGGGCCAGCAGGGTACTATATATACCGCCATAAGGGCGCCCCCCTGCCATCCCGATGGGAGCTGCTAAGGGAAAAAGTTTCCAACATCCATGCACACAACGCGCGTACACCTAATTGGAATGGATGTGAACAAGCACTCGAAGAAGAACCAAAAGTTATAACTCAAAGGGGGGGGAGGGTTCAGCTCAAAAAGTTTGAAAACAACTCAGGGTGCAGAGAAGGGGCAGCTGGGGGCTGTATGCAGGCAGGGGGTAGCTCAGGGTGCAGGGAGGGGACAGCTGGGGGCTGTGTGTGGGCGGGGGTAGCTCAGGGTACAGGGAGGGGGATAGCTAGGGGCTGTGTGCAGGCAGGGGGGTAGTTAGGGGCTGTGTGCAGGCAGGGGGTAGCTCAGAATGAAGTGAGGGGGTAGCTAGGGGCTATATGCGGGCAGGGGGTAGCTCAGGGTGCAGGGAGCAGTCCCTGTTCCCTGAGGACTCTGCCAGCCCCATCCCTACGGCTCTTACCGGCTGCATGAGAAAACAGGGCTGGGAGCTGAGGTGCAGCCAGCAGGCGAGGAGGGAACACCATGGCTGCCTGCTCCATGGCACCAGCCAGAGGAGCAGTTGCCCCGCACTGCCCGGCTCCAGCTTCCCGCCTCCGAACTGGCCAGAGGGGAGAGAGAGAAGGAGGTGTGTGGGGTGTGGAGCTGCCACCGGGATACCCCTTCACATACACTGCAGTTTGGGGTGGCAACATTCCGGGTGCCCCCCACCTCTGCCCATGGGCTCTGAGGGCTTCTGCCCCAGGGAGAGCACCAGGGATCCAAGATCCAGCCCCGCGGCTCCTGCCTTCAGCCTCATGGAGGTTGCTAGGGCTCAAGCATTCAGCCCCGCGGTGGGCAGTAGGAATCAGGGCTTCAGTCCCCCCCTGCGGCTCTGGCTTCAGCCCTGTGGCGGGCACTGGGAATCAGGGTTTTAACCTCCCCTTCTCGTGGCTCCAGCTTCAGCCCCGCAGAAGAAGCCAGGGATCGGGGTTGCAGCCCCACAGGGGGCGCTGGGGCTCAGGCTCTGGGTTTCAGCATCAGTGCCCAGTGACCCCCCTGAAAGCACTTGCAGACCCCAATTGAGAACCCCTGCTTAAGGTTTCACATGGTGAGGGGTGGCACACACCCCTCACACGTGGGTCTTGTCCTACCTGACGTGTCATCTTCCTGTCTCTCCACCCGGCCTGAAGCCACCACGTGCTCTCACTGACGAGCCACCGCCTGCCTGCACTTACTTGCCAGCCACAAACAAGACATGGCAGAGGCGGCGCTGACTGACTACTGACTGACCAGCAGGAAGAGCGGAAAATACAGGACAATTTGTCCGTTTTTTAAAAAAAGGCGGGACACCTGCAATAGGGCTGAAATACGGGTCTGTCCTGTTAAAAATGGGACGGATGGTCACCCTACCCCTTGCGCTTCTCGTTCAGGTAGAGTACAGGAGTCGGCGGGAGAGTGATCTGTGGTTGATTTAGCGGGTCTTCACTAGACTCGCTAAATCGACCGCCGATGCATCGATCACCATGCATCGATCCCCTGATAAGTGTAGACAAGCTTTGGAAATTCAGTCTTGAGAAATATCACTAAAGTTACATATGGCCAGCAGCAGAATGGAACTCAAGTTAGAAGCCATTAACATCTCAATAAACAGAAAGAAGATTAAAATCCATGTATTTAGCACAGACTTTTGATCACTTAAAGGAGCAGAGGGTTGAAAATCAATAGTAACTATGCTTCAGGCTTAGCTCAGTTCCCTAATGAAGACTGGTCTAGTGCAAAACGCAACATCTGCAGAAGGCCTCCACACATTCATAATGGTGGTTAGTAAATTTTCCTGGATTGCTGGATGACAGTAATAATTTAACCCACTTGAGTTATTTACATCATCTCTACAAGTATTTAATATTGCAGAGAACTAGTTTATCCCAGTCACAAAAATCTTAGTGGTCAAACTTCAAGCTTATAACCCAGAAAGATCAGGTTTCCAGGACAAGATGGATTTGAAGCAAGCAACTGTATATTTCAGGGGCACCTATTTAAAGCCCTTTGTGTTTAAAAATGAAGAGTAACAGGCTGAGGTACCCTTTTAGGCAGCAGAGCCGAGTGTTGTTCATTTCCCCGTTGTTAGAATGACAGCATCTTAAGGAAGATGATTCATAGCCTTCAAAGAAGATATGCCAACCATTCAAGGGGATTTGAGGGTAATATATCCTTACCTGGGTCAGGTTAGATTGATGGGCCTGATTTATGCATTTGATATTGTTTATCTATTGGCCATCTTCCTCCTGGACAGAGCTCTGAGTAAAAAAATAATAGTAAAACACTAGCTACCTTATCACATGAGACTATTCTTCAAAGGTTTAGAGATTTCTCACTCTCTATTTGTTCCCTTATTTTCAGGAGGGAAACTGCCAGGATCATTTTGTTTGTTTATTTTCAATGAAGATTGGTGTGACTTGCTTTTCTCCTGTTTTCTGGTAATATTTCAATTTTCAAATTATAAGTAGTAGTTAGCTTATCTGCTAAATCTTTTTACTCTAGTATACCTATAACCTGAACTAGACAATCTTTGCATGTTGTAATTTTTCAAATATCTAATTAAAAGCTATTTTGGGACCATACTATGACATCATGAGACATGCTGCCTAAAATTCTGATAGTGGAGCCTTCTGCTTGAAAATGGATGGATGGTCTTTAATACAGAACATACTCTTCCCTTCATTGTCCAAGCTTTTTCTTTTTTGTTCTTGTTGAAGATAGGATTTGTTTTCTTAAAAAGGAGTTCAGTATCTGTGACCCAGAGCTCCTAAATGCCAATCGGCAGAGGTCACACCATACCATAACTCACATCAGGCCTGACATACTCATTGCCCGAACTCACTCTTGGCATAATCTGTATCTAACAGGTGCCATGTAAGGTATCACATGCAAACTGATAACACACTGGTCATTGGTATTATTGCATAATGCACGTATGTCTGGTGTATAAAGAATTAGACGTGAGCTGGAAATACATTCAGTGAGCAATGCATAAACCCAGCATGTCCTAAACAAAGGAACATTGTCTCACCTGCTTGACTGTGTCTCCAATGTAAACTGAGCAAGGAGAGGTCTGAAAAAATGGAAGTATATTTACATAAGGTAAACAAAGCCATCAAACTAGCAAGGGGGGAAGGTGACCACTTAACAATCATGACAGTGGACAGAGGCTTTACCCCACCGGGAAGCCTTCCTGACACTTGAAACAGACAATGGACTTTGGGAAATATAAGCGGAAACAGAAAGCCATTAAGGCATCCATCAGCTGAGGGACAAAAGAGGCCAGAGTTCTTGAAATCTGAGAAAGTTGAATCCTTCAATTAAGGGCACTGAAGTCTCTGGGAACTGACTACAGATGAGAAACCTGCTTAGACAAAGATTGTAACTTGCTGAAGTTAAGTTTTAATCACAAAAAACGTGTTTTGTTTTATCTGTAACCTTTCATCTCTTTCACTCTTATTTGAAATCACTTAACCCTATATTCTTTGTTAATAAACTTACTGTTTTATTACAAAGCCATCTCAGTGCTCCCAACTTGAAATGAAGTGTAAGTCTTCAGATAACTTAAAAGGCTGTTGTGTGCTTTGTCTCTTTGGAGGCAGCAAACTTAACTTCTGAGTGTCCATTGAGAAGGACTGGACACTGCAGAAAGCAGTCTCTGAGGAACTTGGGAAGTGGGATTCATTCAGTGCTACCTAGCAGAATTCTGAAGAGTTTGCTGGCAAGGCAGGCAAGGTGGTGGGTCAGGAATCTGACACAACTTAGCAGCAGCCAAGCTCACTCTTGCTGAGGCAAAGTAGTAACACAGTGGCTCACAATTCTGGGTGACCGGAGCAAGCCCTCACAGCATCTCAGCCAATTTTGAGTTAACTTCACCCTGTTTTTTTCCTCTTATATTCTGCACAAAGGAATTGCAAACTGTTGCACTTAAAATCATCAGAAGAGGTGGTGGTTGTGAAATCCTACAGCACCACAATTAAATACTTCCTTCCCACAGAAGTTATTCAAAATTTTAATTCCTCAGTTTGCTTTCCTGAAATGTTATTGCCCTTGGACTACTGCACTCTAACCACTTATTCTATACCTTGACAAAATTGAATATCCCACATTCAATGGGTCTAGACGTCTCCTCAGCTGCCCAACCAATTATTTTGATATTATCGATTTCATTATCATTTGAAAAATAAGTGCAAATGCCTGATTATGGGAAGTTATCTACATTTTTATACTGCACTCCTCACCATGACACAAGCCATTTTGGTAGGTTACATAAGAAATCTTTTCAAGGGTAGTTTTAGTTCTGACATTAGGTTTCCACATAATAAGCTCCAAAAAATGAGTTATTTGTTCCCATCTCCCTATTACATGGGTAAGACAGACATTTCTGGAAGAGGCAGGCCTGAGCAACAAAGCTGGGATATACATTTCCCCTAAGTTCAGCCATGTTCTGATACAGCTTATGCTAGAGATAAAGGCCAACTGCAAAGTTTTGCCATGAATCCAAACTGCCCCAAAGTTTGGGAGGTTTGCCCCTGGGGTTTCAGGTCAGGCGCAGCATTAGTTAATGATCAGACCTAATCTGAATATGTGAATTACACCCCACCGCTGAGGATTTCACAATTCTATGAATGAGACAGTATTACAGAGTAGCAGCGGAGACAGTATTAGTTATTCAAGTTCAAAAGTTACTCTGGGTATGAAATATTGTTAAATTCTGCTTCCCATTTGACTTTAATTTCCATAGCTGTTAGCTATAATAGTGTTCTGAGTCAGTGCATGCATACAGTACAAAGTGCACCCTTGTAACAGTTGTATAAATTTTCAACACAGCAATAGCAAGGTCATGTAGGGCAATAATGGGAAAACACATTTGATCTTTAGTTCTGAATATTCCACACTGTGGTTAAGGTTGGAATTTGTAGAGACCTGAGTGAGAACAAAGAGACTGGGACTTGGCGGTGACGCTGCACCCGATCCTGACACATGGGCCAGGCCTGCCCCAGAAACACCCCGAGCCCCTCCAAGCCAGGCGTACTAAGATAGCAAGCAAGAGGGACAGAGTCTCCTCCTCACGACCAGCTCTAGCCCCCACTCCAGCTGTGAAGCAGGCAGGCTCATCCCAGCAGGATCCAAATGTGGAGGGGCTTAGTGTGGGGGATCCCAGTGTGGGGTAAGAGGGTTCTGTGTAGGGCAATCTGGGTACAAGTGGCTTGGGGGGGGGATAGGGGTCCAGGTACAGGGGGGATCTGGATGCACAGGGGCTCATCGGGGGTTCCAGATACAGGGGGAATGGGACTCTGTGGGAGGTCTAGGTAAAGGTGGTTAGGGTTCAGCAGGGGGATTTGGCTGTTTGGGGAGGGGGGGGGGAGTCTAGGGGTGAGGCTCGGGTGGGGCGGGAGGGAGAAAGAGATCCGGCTGCAAGAGAACAACCCCGCCATGGTGATTTACCTCTCTGCCATGGCTGTTCTGGGTGCCTGAAACAATGCACCACACTGCTGGGGAGGGGCATGATTGCTCCTGTGGCTTCCCTTTGCTTCCCCATCAGAAGTCATTTTTCTACAGAGAAGCAAAGAAATTTGAGGGGGATATAAATTCTGCACGTGTGCAGTGGTGCAGAATGCCCCCAGGAGTCATGGAGGTCTATAAAACCATGACTGGTGTGGAGAAAATAAAGAAGTGTTATTTACTCCTTCTCATAACACAAGAACTAGGGGTCACCAAATCAAATTAATAGGCAGCAGGTTTAAAAACAAACAAAAGGAAGTATTTCTTCACACAATGCACAGTCAACTTGTGGAACTCCTTGCCAGAGGATGTTGTGAAGGTCAAGACTAACAGGTTTCAAAACAAAAAACAAAAAAAAACCACTAGATAAATTCATGGAGGATAGGTCCATCAATGGCTATTAGCAAGGAAGGGCAAGGATGGTGTCCCTAGTCCCTGTTTTCCAGAAGCTGGGAACGAGCGACAGGGAATGGATCACTTGATGATTACTTGTTCATTCCCTCTAGGGCACGTGGCATTGGTCACTGTCGGAAGACAGGATACTGGGCTAGATGGACATTTGGTCTGGCCCAGTATGGCCACTCTTACATTCTTCTTTCTTCTCTGGTAATAAACTTTTCAGGGTGAACTATATTCTTAGAACTGTGCAAACCACGCTCATCAAATGAAGCCCTCTGTGACAAATGTAAAGCCATTACCATCTGAAGAGTTGCAGAGGTGTAATGGATTAGAAATTAGTAAATTACTGTAGTGGACTACACTAGAATACAGAGGGACTTTCCTATAGCTAGGTTGGAACTACAGAAAAGTACAATAGTTAAAATATAGGGTTTGATTCTGCAAATGCTACCAGGCACAGTATTTGTCATGAGTAGTCCCACTGTATCATGCCACTAAAAGCTACACAGCAAGTGTTTAGTGGCAATACTAAAGGTCCAGCAAAGTAAATGGATGTGACTCAGAATTCACACAGACCACCAGACTTGATTAGCACCTTCTTATTTGGGGAGGTACTCTTAAAACAAAAGAAGACCGTTCCTTTTCAAAATAGAATTGTACTTTAGACAGTGGATAAAGTTTTCAGATGTGTCTAACGAACGTAGAAGCCTAGGGCTTGTCTTCACATATAGCACTGCAGCTGTGCTGTTGTAGCGCTTAAGTGAAGAGGCTTCTATGCTGACAGGAGACCTTTGCCCGTCAGCATAGTTAATCCACCTCCCCAAGAGGCAGTAGCTGTGTCAACGGGAGAAGCTCTCCTGCTGACATAGCACTGTCTACATGGAGGGATACGTTGATATAACTATATTGCTCAGGGGGGTGGATTTTTCACACCCTTGACTGATGCAGTTTTACGTAGATATAGTTCTGTAGTGTAGACCCATGAGACTTAGGCGAGGAGTTAAGTTCACAAGTCACTTGTGCACTTTTGAAAATGTTACCACGTATCACTATTAATATTGTCAATAGTACTAGTTTTCTTTTAAAAAGACACAAGGAACAAAGCAATTACTCAAATTACTTTTAAAAAGAATTTATTAAAAACATTCTTAATGTGATCATTTAAAATTGCACGGGAGAGGGCTGTTGTCAGTATTCAATCAATGAAAAAAGTTAAAGCACAATTTTATATTAAGTAATGCTAGTTAGTGTAAAAAAAAAAAAAAGCCCAAGTATTAAACAACCAAAACTTCTTAAAACAAATTGAAAATACACGTTCTCTTGAACTATTCATACAATACATTTCAGTAGTTGACACTAACTACTTACATACATCGAACTTTAATCTTATTGATTTTTTCCCTAAATCAAGCACAAGCATTCAAAGAAAAAAATTGTTAGTTTACATCCCATGTGTGTGAAACCTCACAGAACAGTAATTAGGCCTTGAGCGATACAGACCTCTCACAGCAAGCTGCTGAACACATTGTTAAACAAGCTATCAAACAGCTCCTTAATTTACACTAGATTGGTTATCAAATAGTTTGGAAGTTTAACAACATAAAATCAGATAGAGATTCCTCCAGAGGGAAAAAACACAAGGTAATTTTACATGGGTTTATGAAGCCTTTAAAGTTTGAAAGTACAGCAAAACGCTAAGTTTTGATCTCTTAGTTTCTTATGAAATTTTCAGGTACTTCTCCCTCATTACCACTCCGTTCTGATTGACATTGGGCATGTCAAAGCTAAAATTTCATTACAGCAATTTAGCAGTTTGCACTAGAAATAGAAAGTAATTTAAAGAAGAAAAAATACTTCTTACCCTATTTTTCTGTACAGAATTTTGTAATCTGATTTCAGATTACCTCAACATTTACTGTAATGCTATTAAGCATTGAGGTATTTCCAATGGCTGAAATTGACTGTAATAACTAGAGTCTACTGAAGAGGTATTGGATAGCTCAGAGAATCGATAATGGGATATGACAGCATTTCACCTTGATATAGCCTGGGTATGTTTAGCTCAGGATAGTAGGAAGTGACCACGACCACCACCTGAAAGCAGTTTTGTGACCATGGTAGTTTCAGTGCAGTTACAACCAAATAAAGTGGCTAAATCACCATCAGCTGGCATCCTTGTTGTCAGTCTCTACAGAAAGGTCAATGATTGACTGAGCTGTGGAGATTAAGTGAGATGGTTGAATCACTTAAGTGAGATGTTACAGGGAAGCCGGCATTGCAGTTGCTCATGTTGTGTCTGCTGTTGAATTGCAGTTTCCAGGGATCTCACTCTGGCACTTACTGTAAGAACTTAATTCACTTACAGAAAAGGAAGAAGATTCATATTTAAATGGCTACCTGAAATTAGCAGTGGGTGAACTTCAGTGGTTTGTAGTTGTAGGCTTCTGCAAGCCTCTTTGGTCAAAAAGTGTTAGCATAACTGCTGTAGCGTATTATGGGCCTAATCCCTCGGTATCTTCTCAATTTGCAGTTTCCAAAAGAAAATCAAGTGTTAACAAAATCAAACTCTTCTAAATGTGAACTAATGATTTAGCTCACTTTCCTTTTTAATTTTTTTTAGAACATTTCAATAAAACAAGACAGAAATTAAGATTAAGTGACAAATTAAAGACATGCTTTGGCCTTAACTAACCTAGGAAGGATTACAGCTACTTTTACTTATTTTGTATAGTATCAACGACAAATAACTCTTAAAACTTCCTCTCCAAACTTCAGGATTGGGTGGGTACAAATCTAGAGGATTCTTCTCCCTCTATAGGAGACTGATCATACACCCACTGAAGTCCACAGATGCAGGATCAAGGCCTGGGGTTCTAGGGCAAGTTGCCAGGCCAGAAATCCAAAGCAGTCAAGAATTCCAGAGATTTTTTTTTCTAATTAAAGAAATTCTAGGAAAAAAGAAGCTGGAAGTTTGCATGGTTAACTACTATGGGGCTGTATTTAGAGTTCTAGGCAATTGGGTAAAGAAACCAAAGCATTAAATTTAGTTTATATTATATATTGTAGTTCTGTTTTCACTGCTGACTGACAGATGGGCCAATGTGGGGCAGAAAATGAAAGCAAGTTGCACCATATCCACCTTTATGGCTTATGCCATATAGTTTAACATACAGACCTAAATCAGTCAGACAGTTGCACTACCATTTTATAATCTAATGAACACAATCTTTGCATTCAAAAGTTTGAGAGAAGTCCTGTGAAGGGAACTTCTAATTCCTAGTAGTGCAAGCCAACCAATTTTAAACAAATATCAGTCAGAAAGTCACTTTATACCCGATGGAGATGGGGGCAAGATATACTTGTATAAAAATATATTGTATATAAACACATTTAGAAAATTGCATAGACAATATTCTTTTATTTAAAGTGATATAAGGCACAATTTTACTAAATATATTGTCTGTTAAAAAAGCAAATTTATTTTAATCACTTTGATATAATGTAATTAATAGTACCCTTTCCATAAAAATATGTGCAAGTGTAAAAAAAGACAATTTTCATTTGGAACATGAAATACTCTAGTGTAAATGTTAAATCAGTCAATTTTCTAAAGTTTATTTGTATAAAATCTGAACACCACTATTTTAGATCACAGTCTTCGGCATTATTGTCCTCCAGACTGTTCATTGGCGGTCGTAGTGCTTTCTTCATTCGCTGTATAATCTAGATGTTCCATCATCTAGGCAGAAACAAGATTATTCTTTTTAAAATACTAACTTCTCATTGGTCCAAACTTTTCATCTAGTTAAGAGAAATTTAATTAAGTAAGGATTAGAGTGGAGTTAAGCAGCATATATTGAGGAAATTCTCTACACAAGACTGAAAAGGAAATATCCAAGCTTATTTTAATTAATTAACACTTTGCACTATGACAATGCTTTTCATCTAAGGATCTCAAAGCACTCTATAAGAAATTAATTAAAAGCCTCAGAACACCCCTATGAGGTAGGGAAACATCCATTAAAAAAATTAATAGTTGCATAAGCAGGCCAGCGAGGTGAAGCAATTTGTTCAAGGTCACAGTGTCACTGGAAGAACTGGAAATAGAATTCAAGTGTCTTATTTAATATTTAAACTTCGCAAAATCCTTTCTGAAGAGAAAGTTAGACTCTGGCTTCACCGCAAATAAATACAATTTACAACTATGGTATATAACCTATCCTTTAAATCAGCTTTTGTACCATACGAGTGGAGGATAGCTAATGTGACGCCAATTTTTTAAAAAGGCTCCAGACGATACAAAATAAAATAAACAAATCTCTTATGTACAGAAAACAATTACATAAACATAACTACGGTTCATATTTGTCAAGCCTAGAATAACTGATTAAGATCACCTATGTATTTAGGTACTGGGGGGAAAAAATTAACTGATTTAATTTAAAATCCATAGATTTCTGTTTTGTGATGGAAAGTAATTTTTAAATTGGGACGTTAAAAACAAAACTGGATTTTTTGTTGCCAGTTACCATTGATAAATAATAAGCAAGGAATAACAAAAGTATAATTCCATTTTTAGTTGTACCTGTAACATGCATATACATACACTCAGGGTGAAATCCTGACTCACTGAAATCAGTGGAAAATTTCTCACCAACTTCAACAGAGCCAGGATTTCATCTTTGCAATCTGACCTGAAAAGACACATTAAGAGCTTTCTGTGATTCTATAGATAGAAAATCCAATGTTCTGACAAATCAGCCAAAACAAAACCCCTCCCAGGTGTGTCTACACAAATCAAGCATTGGAATCTATGTTCAGAATGGTGAAAAAAAAATATTACAAGTCTCTCATCGGAAGCACTACCACATCACTCTGCCAACGGTGCATATCCTCCTCTATCCCAATTAGTCCAAGATCATACATGCAACACTGAGTTGGAAAAGAACTTGTTATTAACTCTTTAAAAAAAAATCCTGCTAAACAGGCCAGTATTAATTATGGGACCAATTCAAAATCCACTGAAGTCAATGTGAGCCTTTCCAATGACATCAGTAGGTTTGGGATTAGACACATATTAACAATAGTGACGCAGCTACTACACACACACACACACACACACACACACACACACACAACAACACACACACACCTACTGTACAA